CATACATACATACATACATACATACATACATTCTCCCCTCGATGGAGTTTTTACCGATTTGTATCGAGGTCCTCGGCCCCATGGACCGTATCACCTCCGGGTTTTTCAATCGGATTTGTAAAAATATCAGTATTAGGTCAGGCGATAGTAGGGAATATTTTTTTGCTATGAATAATATCTCGTGCATTCTGCAGCGGTTTTTGCGCGTCTGTGTGTTGGAAAATGTGGAGTTGAATGCCGACGGGGTTGAGTGACGTTATAGCAAATAAAATCAAATTTAGTCAAACGCTTGGCTTTTGGTGTCATTCGTCAATGATTTGGTTTTAACATACATACATACAAACAAACAAACAAGCAAACATACACACACACATCATACATGCATGCATATATACCTACATATATACATACATATATACAGAGAGTATTGTATGAATTCTACCGAATTGTTGGCATTAATTAATTTAAAGTTTAAACTGACACGGGGTAATGTTGGGGCCGTTGGAATATTACGGAACGTGCGAAAGACTTTTTTTTATCCCGTACGTAACACTTTTGCTTTTGCCTCACATGACATGATCGCCTCACCTCTCTCATGTTACGTAATAAAGACAATTTTCACAAATGAAAAAACAGTTTTAGAACAATTTTACTACAAATCTCTTTACTGCATTAAAACCTTTTTTTTAACAACATTCATTACAGTTTTTTCCCTTTTGAAATATGTGTTATTGTTTTCAATGCCTCGAGTTATGTCCTTTTAGCGAGTTTTTGCTATCGGAGCTCATTCAAAGGCGTCCAGGGGCTTGAGCTTAAAATAAATTTAATTATCACAATTTTCCACGTGTGCCTATTGCTATTATGAAACCTATCAAAAATTTAAACTTTGAAAAATATCTATGAGGAATTTTTCGAAAAACATCCTTCAATCGTTTCATCCAAAATAATGGCGTATTAACTGCTTTTAACATTTTGAAATTTAAAGAGGATGGATGTGTGTGAGAACCATTAAATCGTTTCGTTTCGTTTGGACATAAACTTCTGTCATAGGTCATTTTCTACCCCATAAATTAATTTTACCTCGTCTTTTATCAAATCCGTTGCCAGGATTTTGATTTGGAGTGGGGTTAGATAAGACTATTTTCATCATAAAGCAATGGAAATGTAATGAAAAAGATGTAATTTTGAAATATTTGCGGATTACATCACTAACGCTTAAGGAACACTTGTCTCTTCAATTGTTTTCAAACGTACCAACGACAAACACCCTTCGAAACAATTCGTTGCAACAGAAAGGAACAGACGCCTTAACCATTACACCATCCCTTCTGCCATTACTTTTTAATCTGTGGTGAAATATGCCATTTGTATATCTTGTGATTGCGATATCCTTAAAAATTTGAAAATATCTTTAATATTATATTTTCAGTTGATGATTTTTCAACAATGGGAGCAATTTTATGCATGCATGCATACATACATACAGCACATCTGAAATTTCATTATTAATGATGTTACAATTTCAACCGTATTCATAGGACCATATTAAATGAAACCTTTGCCTTTTGATAAATTCTTAAAAATATTAGTACAATAATAAAATTGAAGGTTCACATTATCGCATGTGCTGCCTATCCCTACTTCATATTTCTAGTGCTTGATAAGTTGATAAGTAGAGAGTTTCTACTTGTTGATCTCTGTTTCTCTGTTCTCTCTCTCTCTCTCTCTCTCGCTCTCTCTGAGTGTCAGTGTGTGTATGTGTGTATGAGTGTGTGTGATATGATAAATGTACTGAGACAGAATTATTTATTTCCTCCATTGGGCAGAATAACCTTTCAAAGAACCTCTACTTTTGAGGAGTTTAAACGCACTTCAATTTAATTCTTTTTTTTTGTATAGGCAACTTCTATGGCAAATACAGGAATGTGGGAGTGCAGGAAGAAAATATTGAAAATTCTGTATTAAATGTAATAATTGAATCAACGGAATTTAGAAAAAATGTCATTAGCTTAAGAATTTTAAAAATCATTCTCCACCAAAACGGGAATTTTAAATAATTTCTTCTGCCACTGGGCAGCTTAAAATAATTATTTTATTTTATTGAAAATAAATAACTTAATTGAAAGTTTAAAAATGTGAATATTTCATTGTTGTTATTTTTCTTCAGATAGCCAGCCAACGATGTTGTTTTTTCCCCAGAAAACTCCCTACCTTTGCGATGTTCACAAGAGAGAGATCGAGTTTATATGCAAGACTTGCCAGAAATCTGCCTGCCCTGTCTGTTTCGTTGCCGAACACAACACCCACCAAGTGATGTTAGCTTCTGAAAGGATTGAAACAAATAAACGAAATTTAGATCAGATGATTCTATCGGTAGAGGATAAATTGAAAATAGTCGATGAAATCGTTAAAAAATTAAAGATTTACGAGAAAAATGCTAGAAGTGTGTGTGAAGAAATAAAAAAACGTTTCATTAAAGAAGTAGATGACTTCATGGCCAACAAACTCGTGTCAGATTTGGAATCACTCAATAATGATAATCAGCGTCTAAGAGATGTGCTGGCACAGTGCAACCTGAAAAAACAAGATGTAAAATTTCTTACCGATAACGATGTCATCACTGTTGATTTCAAATTGACCGAAAATTTTGAATTTTCACTTCATCAGGTTGATCACCAGCAAATGACGGCGAACTCACAACTCTTACAAGAAGTCATTCAAAATTCTATCATTAAAATAGGTTAGTATGTTAGAAAAATTTAATTTTATAAATGTATATATATATATATATATATATATAAAGGGATTTAAGTGGGAGTTTGATCTTTTAAATAAAACTTCACATTTTTAATGAATTTGTAATTTTAAATTCTATTTCTGCTTCTAGATAGGGTTTGCTTTTCGTGTGGCTTTTTGTTGCTGTATTTTCTGACTTGATTTCAATTTCCAATGTAAAAATCACAATCGTATTGTTCTTCTCATTATTTACATTATTTCATCATTGCACTGTTCTTTATCAGTGTGGCCAGTGGTCTAGGGACAAAAGAGTGCGCCTAGGCAAATCTTTCATTTGCAGTCTTGATTGAATTCATATATTTCGGCGCTCCCTACATAAAAAACAAACCTAATTTATTTCTAAAGTTTTCAAAAAATGTTTTCATAAATGGTATTTTATTTTAGAGCAGTTTTAAGGCAATCAATGCAAAACTAACAATCCAGCACATGTTAATAGAATGTCAAACATATAATAAAAAACAGGAAAAAATACCATATTCCAAAAGATATACGCTCAATTTTTAAAAATGAAAACATAGTAAGCCTAATAACATACATTAAGGAAAAAAACATTTTCAACAACTAATTGGCACGCATTTCAAAAGATTCTCAACAAAGACCAACAGCATAGACAGCCTATCTGTGCTGAAACTCTGTGAGACTGCAAAAGAAGAAGAAAATTTAATGAGCAATTCTTTTTTATCACGAGCATGCTTAATACGCAGAGAGTGCCAGCAAAAAAATAGTTCGGTTAAAAATGTGTTTTATTGAAAAGTAACTCTGAGTAATTGCTCGGGTGGCCAGGTGCCACCTTCACCATGCCATTATGTGTAGCTAGGATTTGGCTGTGTGGCTATAAAAAGATGATAACATTTTACGTTGTGAGAATAGACTAGATTGAATAAAAAGTTGTATTTAAAAATTTGTGGTGCGACGATCCCAAATTCCCTGCTTGTCTACGCCTCAATGAGAATGTTTTGTTATAATGATGTTAACATTTACCTGGCAATTTTATTTATGACGAAAATTATTTTATTCCGAAAAGGTGTAGGAGAGAACTTTGCCTCGCTTGTTGACCAAATTTGTTACGATGTAGCCATTACATGCTTCACTATCTCAAAGGACAAAATATTTGCTTGTTCGGGCAAGAATTTAATAACAAAAAACTTCTACAACCTCAATGAAGGTCCTGTGATGAAAGTTTACGACGGTTTAGAGCTTCTTACGGATATTCTGGCTCATGATGACAAATTTTATTATTTCGACGCAACCACTGAAAACTCGTGTGGAAACTTCCTTGCCGATCCGTTTGCTAAAGAATCCAAAGTGGGTTTCGACGATTCCCTGAGCCTGAAATACCCCGAATTTGTAAAAATTGAAAATATAAACTGTTTTTCTTCAACTGGGAGGAATATTATTACAGCTAGAAACGGTGATGTCTACGAGTTAGATGGAAATTTATTGGAAGGAACAAAACTTGTAAGAAAATACAAAAATGAAAACATCCTACATGTTTTAAAACTCAATTGCGGAAAACTCGTGCTAGCATCACTTAGCAGTATTGATATACTTTTTGAAGGCAATGTACAACATTCAATTAACTGGCAAACTGCATACTTTTCTCAAAATTTTTCTAGAAAAAAACCACAAAATTCACTTTTTGGTGAACTTAACTTTGAACCTATCACCACATCACACATTTCGGGATCATATTTTCGGACACCTACAACAGCACAAGCTTCATTGTCCAATTTTCATGGACCTACAACAACAGTGTTCTGTTTTCAGACACCTGAAACACACAATCTAGGATTATTCGGATCCCCCTCAATGTTGGGCTCCCCCGCAAATTTACAATTAGCTAGAACAGCATATCTGGCTCGTGATACTTACGACAACATTTACATCATCAGCAGCCATCTTGGAAATAATATTTTCATACTTGATAGTAATCTCAACTATTTATCTCAGATAAAGACAGATTTGACTCCAAAAAAGCTGGAAATAACCAGCAGTAATAAATTGTATGTTAGTTACACTGACGGAAAAATAATTTCTGTCTACAAAATTAATTTGTCTGTGAGGAACCAAAACTTGGAACCAGAAACAAAATGTGTCTAAAGTGACCCTCAACCGTATCTGCAAGTATATTATTTCACATCAATTCTTCCTAACTTTAAATTTTTCTCATCAAATCGGTCGTCAAGAAGAGCTTACATTTCTACGTTGTTGACTGCGCGCGAATGTTTGAAAATTGAATGTAATGTTGGCGGCCAATGTAATGTCATTCGTTGTATACTAATAAAGCAAAACTAGTGATTATTTATTTTCTTAAAAAAAAAATAAAAAATCAACGCTGGATGAATACATTGTTATTTGTACAAGGTTTGAAGTTTAAACAAATTTCTAAAAAAATATTTTAGTCGATTATATATATATATATATATATATATTATATATATATATATATGTGTGTGTGTGTGTGTGTGTGTGTGTTTGTTTAAATGTACGTAGAATTCTTACTAAAATAAAGATCAGGCATATAGAATAGGTTTGCTTACTTTAATGATCATAGCAAGTTTGAAAAACACATCGCTGCAGAAACAAAAAAACGTTCGAAGCTTCATTAACTGTATCAAATGCTATAACATAAATACAAGAAGAAATAAATAAATAACAGATCAACATGGTTATAAAATAATATTAAACCCAAATATTTTAATAATTATCGTTATTATCATCATTATATTATCATCAGTACAGTTACATCATCATCCCAAAACCATTTTTTTTATTAGTCTTTATTATTGCAGCTCTGACATACGCAGAACCACTTACAATGTTTCATATATAGATTACGTTCTTCATATCTTCATCCATTGATATGAAGCAGCCATCTTCGTCACAAAGGCTGTTTATCCTTTTCACACGACTTAAACATTATTACATTTAGAGCAGCCACCGACTATTCAATCCTCAATGAAAATATATCATTGTAATCATTTCTATGATCTTCACTATCAACATTTATTATAACCATCATCGCCACCATCATCATCATTATCATAATTACAAAATCCTCAACAGCAAGGCCAGTCGCCTCAATATTTTTCAATCTTATTTTGTATCTTTGGGGTTCAAAAGACACAAAATAAGATATAGATAACACCGAGGTTACCGTCCTTCTCTTGGTTGCTATTTCCTGTAACTCAAAGTTTATCCCTAAATCCCCAAAAATCACAAATAATGTAAAGAATGGACGAAAATAAAGTCATAATGGCGCCTGGAATGGCCATCCAGTATGCCCAGCCAAAATAATAGTCACCTGGAAAGAAAAAATTTTTTTTCATTAAGAAAATAAATAATTAATAAATTATTAAAATTTTGCAATTAATTAATTAATGTTAATGAGCTAGTTTATAACCCTAATATCATTATATTATAATTTCGTAAACTTCGGTAAGTTTTACTCTTATCATTAAACGCTACAAGTCAAAACTTGTTGTATATGTTGCATTATAGGTATTTTGACATGTTGTGTCCAGAACAAAAATATGTCTTGATCCATTTCTGATTTATACTAACTAAACCAAAGTGTTTTTGAAGTATATGTATATTTGTCTATTCACGAGGCTTTAATGTTGGTCTCTAAAGACAAACCAAGACGTTAAATTGCACTCATAACATGCCAGGGATACGCTGTTTAAGTATTTGTACATGTTATTGTAAATGAATTTTTATCTTTTCGGTAAACTGTACGCATTTTACTATTGTAATTATGATCCATGATGTTTCTGTATGCCTGTTGCATCTATATCTAAGGTTTGCTATTGTTATCTTAAGTGTATCGGTACAACAATTGCTGTATTTGGTATTTTTCATTTTTCTTCCTCACTTTTTGTATTTATTTTCTCACTTATTTGTTTAATTTTGTTCTACTGCCTTGCATGTTGTTACAGTTTCTGCGTCTGTCAGATCCTGATTTTTAAAGAATAATAAAAAAAAAATTTTGATATTTTGGTGTTTGTGGTTTACAACTCACCAGCATTTCTGGGCCTCGTGACAGATGCTGCTGCATAGGAATTGTAAGCTCCTCCACCGAAAACTGCTATGGCGGCCACCTGCAGCATGACTGGATGGGGAAATGTGAAAATGTTTATTGAGAAATTTCAGAAATTGGTTGGAGACTGTGCCATACAAAAAAGGATAAACATCCGTCATATTATTTAGGAATATTTTGTGTTATTATATTCAGGTTGAGACATTGATTCTTTCACACAAGTGTATTACACCAAAATCGTATAAAAATTAAGATGTAGATTTTTTTAAATATTCCTCATATATATTTTTCAGAAGTGTTAATTACAAACACACGTCGTACGCATGTAATGTATCGCGGTTTTTTGGCCTCTAATATTGCTATAATTAGTTAAAAGAAAGATTGTTGCATCTGCTATTGTTGAAAAATATTCATGTGTTTAAGGACAATTTTATCAATGACGATCATGACGTCAAAATTTAACTTCTAGAACAGTAAAATTGGCTACAATATACAGTGCAATTTAACTTCAAAACTAAAACTCAATGCAACCATAAAGCTATTACGGCGATGCGATTTAAACCAAAGTAGGATCAAAATATTAGTGACTGGCCATTATTTCATTTAAACATGCATACCGGCATTTTAATATCTTAATGGTGCGTACACATTATAAAGATTTTAAAATGAAATAATTGGACAGTTGTAAATGTTTTGGGTCTCTAATCTGTACTTCAATTATAGGCTAATGTCTCCGTACGCATATTTAAATATTTTATTTATACACACCTACTCTACTTCTTTCTAACCTGAAAACATGAGTCCGAAGCCAAGAATTCGATAGGAAGCCCTGTTCTCTCTACACGCCAGCTGAAATTTCCCGAAGACCTCGCACATAAGGAGGAGGGCACAGCCGACGAAATATAGGACCTGCGTCGCTATGTGCCATTCTGTATTTGGGGTGCAAGTTTTTTTTTCACAGTTACAGTTTTGTTGGTTTTTGTTATTTTTATTAATTTTGTAATTGTAGTTATTAGTAGTAATCTGTAATTATTGGTCTCATTATCTGTTGTAGGTAGTAGTAGTAGAAGTAGTAGTAGTTGTAGTAGTAGTAGTAGTAGTAGTAGAAGAAGTGGCAGAAGTAGTGGTAGAAGTCGGAAAAGTAAAAATAAAATTCGAAATAGTGAAGTAAATAATAAAGTTGGCGTGAAGAAATATCCCGGATTGCATTTAGACACTAAGAACATCAAATTCTCCCCTACCAACACTAATATTTTTACATGTTTAAGTATTCTGCACGTCTACCGTGCGATCGATTGCGCCAACTAACTTGAATTCGTGAACAGATTAATCTGCAAGACATAGCCGTCGGCCCAGAACCCCTGGCAAACATCGTAACAAATGGCCCACAGTCCTCTAGATAGAGGTATCGAGGGATCCAACTTGGTTTGGAATATGAAATCATTGGATCTGTATTCACCCTTGCTCGCTGGGTCCAAAATGGCGAGTTGGTTTTGGAGCCAGTACGGCGCGAAGAAGCTGATGCCACACGCGATGAACGCCCAGAAGAGGCACATTGAAGCTGCGGCTGATAGTTTTCGAGGCATTTTTTATAATTGTCGTGGTTGAAGTTTTTTTTTGGCTGTCGCTATCGTTTTGGTTGTTTATGATGTTGAAGTTGATGACCTCAGGATGAATATGAATGTATTTCCAATGACGATGCTGTTGCTGCTGCTGCTGATGCGATGAGTGCGTCACTATTGCAGAATACGTTGATGATGTTGTTGGGAAGATGTTGCTGTCTAACCTCCTGATGCTTTCCTGTCTGTCCGGAGTTTCTACTCCTTTGCTTTCTGCAGAGCTATCTGCAGATGTAAATTACGTACCGGAGTTGAAATATAATCACGTTACAATATAATTCAAAAGTGTAATTATTAATTAATGTATCCGCGTGTGTGTGTGTGCGTTTGAGATTGTATGTGTGTGTGTGCGTGTATATGTGTGTGTACGTGAGTAGTTATGAATGTTTGCGCACGCGTGTGTGTGTGTACGCGTTATTAAAATTATTGCTCACCCAACAAACAACAACAACGAATATAAATAGTTATGAATGTATAATCGGATGTCTGGATGAATCAACGAAGGAACAAAATGAATGAATGAACGAGTGAGTGAACAAACATATTTACAAATGTCTTAACATACTTTTAAGCTAAGTTCAAATTTTTTGTCTGTAAATATGTTTACACGTTCATTCCTTTTGTCCTTTCTGAATTAACTAATTCAATCAATCATTCAATTGTTTGTTCTTTAATTAATTCATTAATTAATTCACTCCATAATTGATTGGAATGTACAAGTTTCCTGACATATTTTAATGCTAAAATCAAATTTTTTAAAAGTCTGTCAAATAACTCGTCAAACAGAACTGAAGAAGATCGCGCCCCATATAAAACATTAAAATGCGATCTCAAGAACAAAACACTTCATTCATCCATCCATCCGTCTATTCATTTGTTCACTCATTCTTATTTTCATTTCTTCAATCATTCGATTGGCCCTTCCATCCATCCATTCATTCATTCATTCATTCATTCATTCATTCATTCATTCATTCATTCATTCATTCATTCATTCATTCATTCATTCATTCAATAATTTATTCAATTTCCTTCATTCATTCATCCATTCATTCATTCATTCTATATAACAATAACTTCTATCACGATGACGAGGTCCGGGATTCATTCATTCATTCATTCTGTATAACAATAACTTCATCAATTCATTCATTCATTCATTCTGTATAACAATAACTTCATCAATTCATTCATTCGTTCGTTCATTCATTCTGTATAACAATAACTTCATTCATTCACTCACTCATCTATTCATTCGTTCATTCATTCATCCATTCATTCATTCATTCATTCGTTCATTCATTCATGTCTCATTGACTTAACTTTTACGCTTGTGTAAAATAAAAGAACAAAATAACTATTCCACTCCATCTGTTTTAGCAGTCATCATCAGTTGGTTGGTTTGGTTTTTCGTTTAGCTATTTTTACTTTAATTGATTTTAAGAAGACTTTTTTTAACAATAAAAAATAACAATAATATGAACAATATGAAGAGTTATATGTAGAAAGATGGATGAATGCATGAGTGAATGAAAAAACGAATGAATGAGCAAACGATTAATCAAATAAATCGAAGACAGCAATTCCTTCCAAATAATTATTAAAGTTTTTTCATAAATTTCATATTAACAGTCAAATTATTAATAAAGGTAGCAGTAGTAGCAGTGTAGTAGTAGTAGTAGTAGTAGTAGTAGTAGTAGTAGTAGTAATAATAGTGGTAATAGTATTAATAATAGTGGTAATAGTAGTAGTAGTAGTTTGTTATATTTGACTAAACGATTTAACATACGCTCAAAAAATCCTGTCAAAGATAGTTAATCTTTTTTAAAATTTATTCATTCCCTCGTTCATTCATTCGTTTGTTGGTTCGTTCATCTGTTTATTTATTCATCAATCAATCTATACATTCATTCATTCCTCCTCATTCCTTCATTCAATTAATTCATTCATTCAACCAATAATTCATTTCCTCACTCGTTCTATCATTTACTTGTTAATACACTCATTTATAAACTCATTCATTCAATCGTACTCCATCATCACATTTTATCATCAATCTATCCATTCATTCATCCATCTTTCCAACAATCCTTCATTCATTCATCCATTCATTCATCCATTCATTCATTTATTCATTCATTTGTTCCTTTTATAAAGTTAACTTTATGGTTCCGATATTAACGTCGCCAGCATCACGAATGTTGTCGTCGTCATAAACAACAAACTAAAAATCAGCACGAACAACAACAAAAAATCTAAACAGAGGACAGCCAACACTCCCTTACATAAGAAAAGCAACAACATTAACATAAACAATAACATACATAAATAACATAACACACATAAGCATCGTCACAAACAAAAGAACAGATTTTACAAACGAAACATTGTTAACCACAAACACAGCAACACAAACGACAAACCCATCACAAACAAACACCAAATAAGTTTATAAACCGATGTTAAGATGTGGCTAACAGTCGATAAAAGAACTACTTCTACGCTACGCTAGTCTAGAAAGCTCTCAAGAAATCTGCACCAAGGTTTTTGACAGAAATTCGAAAAAATTTTAACAGTGCAAATTGAAATGCATTTGAGATCGCACGATGTGAATTTTCCGCTGGGCTGGTTCCAGCTAGGATGTCGAAGTTGGATTAACTCCAGTCCCTGAAAAAATTCCGACTTTGACATTCTGGTTCCAGCGACGTGTCTAGATACAGACTCACTTAGTATCGCTTCCGCAGAACCCACAGTCTACCTGGAACAACTTGCATGCCTGTCTCGCAAATCCGGAGTTGGAACTGTCTGACTTGAAAAAGAAGCTGAAACCATTTCAATTTTTTCCATTTCTGACTTTTGATTTAGTTTAGTCATGTTTACTTTTGTCTCTATTTCTACGGCAGTTTTGAGGGTTTTTTGATTTAGTTGCAGCTTTATAAATTTATCATTAATAAAAGACAACAAACAACCTACAACCAATGCGACCAACTGACCATAGACAGCAAAATCTTTGCAAACAACAACACATCAACGTAAATATAGACAACAATATCTTTTTTTATTAATCTTAACCAAATACAAACAAACCTGTATATTAGTTTCCTCCTTCTTTGAAAAAAAAAACAATAATTTGATCAGAAAATTATTTATGGACAGAAATTTTGACCGATTTTACTTCAAATATATTTTTAAATTAAGGTTGAAAATTTATAGATAATATAATTAATTTATCGCAAAATAAATGTTGTTTATATATTGTTTATATATTTGTTTGTTTGTCTGTCTGTTTGTATATTTAACTAATTCTTTATATTAAATTAAAATCAACTAAAACTAATTTTTTAATAATTCGTCTAACAAATTAATAATATCCAAATAAATACAATCCAATTAATCTGTTTCGAAAAAGCTATAATTAATTAATTAATTAATTAAATGATCAACTAATCGACTAATTACTTAGCTAATCCTTTACAAATCCACAATTTAAATATTGTTTACCATTAGTCTTGGCTGGATCAAGTAAGAATCTTCTACCTAATTTTCAGTCGCAAATATAAGGCAAAATGACGCATGTACACACCACACGCACACACAAATGTACATACACACATACACACAAATGTACATACACACATATTACATACATACACACATATTACATACATACATACATACATACATACATACATACATACATACATACATACATACATACATACATACATACATACATACATACATACATACATACATACATACATACATACATACATACATACATACATACATACATACATACATACATACATACATACATACATACATACATACATACATACATACATACATACATACATACATACATACATACATACATGGAACGCAATTGTTTAGCCTATGAATGGATGAATAGTGTAGCATCGCATTATTTGTCAATATCACAGTGTTACTATATGTTATTTATAATAATAATAATAATAACAATAATAATAACCTGTCAGTATTTATATCATTTCATATGTAATAACGATGCGAATATCATGTTTAGTTTGACAATTATTTGTGAAAGATTGAAAGATCACACATATATACACACACACACACACACACACACACACACACCCACAACACACACACACAAACACACACACACACACACACATATATATATATATATACATTTGTGCGTGTGTATATTGAATAGTTTCTTTTAATTGTATTAAAATTTATTCTCTCTGTAGCTAACTAAACTCATAGCATACATGCCACATATCACTATACAATAATCACTAACACAATAAAATATACGTATACCTATACACACATCACGCACACACGCACACACACACGCACACACACACACACGCACACACACGTACACACGCACGTGTGTTGTTGTATAGGTTAGTCATATTCACCTGAATAAGTTTTCTGCTATTATAGGCAGCTCATCTTTCTATAAATAATACATGTATTTATGTGTTTGTGCGTGTGTGTGTGCGTGTGTGTGCGTGTGTGTGCGTGCGTGTGTGTGTGCGTGTGTGCGTGTGTGTGTGTATTCATCAGGGATATACGGACGTTATTCATTTTGTGTCGTGTCTTATGTTGCGCTGAGAATTATTGTTGTTGTAATTATTATTATTAATTATCATTATTATTTATTATTATTTATTATTATTTATTATTTATACTATTTATTATTATTATCGTTATCAGGAGGTGTTTTGTGTTGACGTAATTTGACAATTAACTCATTAAGAGGTTTCCGGTGCTAGCTGAAACCGTACGAGTGTGTGAAATGTGTGTCTGTGTGTGCGTGTACGTGTGTCTGTCTGTCTGTGTGTGTACGTGTGTCTGTGTGTGTATGTGTGTAAGTGTGTGTGTCTGTGTGTACATGTGTGTACGCACTCATCCTCTAATGAATCTTATAATTTTCATTAACAAAATGATGGTAGCAACTCCTGCAAATATTTTTGTTCTATCTTTGTAAAAATAGGCATAAGGGTAGAGAAAGGTTTTTATTTCCTGAAAATGTCAATATCGCCATCATCATCATCATCATCATCATTAACATTATTAGCATTATCGCCATCATCATCATCGTCATCATCCTCCTCATAGTCATCATCGTCATCACCTTTCTGACGTAACGACGCTGCACCTGAGTTGACGAGTAGAAAGCAGTAAGCAAACGAACGAAGGAAGGAAAAAGTGAAGCGCTAAAGAAATTACAGCAGGTGTCGCCATCATCATCATCGTCGTCATCATCATCATCGTCAGCATCATCATTAAACTTTATGTACCTTCATTTTTTATCTTCCAGTTCCTCTACGTATCACCACTCGACTCTGTGCAGGACGACAAAAATGCGTATGTATATATATACCGGTTAACATAATGTATACATACATACTGGCATACAAACATGCATACATACAAACATGCATGCATACAAACATGCAAGCATACAAACATACGTGTATACAAACATAGGTGTATACAAACATAAATTTACACAAACATACATCCGTACATAAATACGTATGTATAAATACACACAAACATTCACTCATACCTTCACATCTTTCTTAACGAGAATGCAAAATTGAAGAAATGCACATATCACGATCCAAGTACATTAAATAATTATGCGAATACATGCAAATACACACACACAATGTGTGTTTGTGCATGTGTGTTTCTATGTAAATGAATGTGTGTGAGTGCGTGCGTGTGTATATGTGTATGTATGTGTGTTTCTATGTAAATGAATGTGTGTGTGGTGTGTGTGTATGTGTGCGTGTAATTATATCAGAACACGCATGAACCTAATCAGCATAATTAGGTCAGAGCAATCGATATAATTATGTCAGTGCATACTTGTTTGATCAATCACTCACCATCGTTGTTAAATCAGTGGCGCATAATTTTTTAAACTCGGTCATTTAAACTCGCAAACACACACACACACTCACATACACACACTCACACACACATGTCTCTGGCTCCGACTGGTCCACAAAATTTCGTACTAGTGGCATGAGGGTCGAGGATGGAATGACTGAATGAATGAATGAGAGAATGAATAAATAAATGAATGAATGAATGACTAATGAATAAAAGACTAATGAAAGAATGAATGACGATTTAAAGAATGAATGAAGGAATTAATGAACGACTAATGAATGAATGAATGAAAAAACGATTAAACAACCAAATAAATGAATGAAGGAGCGAAGCGATGAATGGGTAAGAGACGGGTTGTTGCGCCATGCCGAAGGGGTCCTTCAACACACACAGATTTTTCTTTTCAATCATTTTCGCTTTTTTAAAAGCTCCACAATTTAACGTTAATTTTATGCTTACTCTATTATACACCGCGTAAGTACGTGACGGGATGAAGGCCCTCATACGAATATAGCCTACAGCTTAGTGGCTGGGTGTGGACGCTAACGCTTTTGCTTCGCGACACAAGTTTTTAAACGCCTCTGAGAAACAAAACTGGCGAAAAGTTCTTTATTCGTCAGAAATGTAAAATTCGTAAAGCAGAACAACGAAACGGTGACGTTCAATAATCGGTTTATTAATAAATAAATGAAACTTGAGATTTTTAATTGATGTCGTTAATTGTCCTTAATGTGCAATTATTAATTAGAAATTAAAAACGTTGCCGGCACCATTATCAGCAAGTCACAGGCGTATCGCCATCAACAACTGCATCATCATTTTCATCATTTACAACACTACAATCAATCTTCGTCATAGATGCAACTGAAAATGTTCTGATCTAGAGATGTCAAAGACGTCCTCAAAAATTTAACTTCTTGACATGGTAAATGATGACGTTGCATGCTTCATCTTTATGACAGGGAGTGGATCCATACTGTGGGAATGTTGAAAAGTTAAAAAGGATGAAAACATCGAAATTTTACGTTCTATCATTTTCGTTCCGCATTTGTCATTCAATTTCGCATATCTTATCAATTAAAAGTGACGATTTTATGTGGAAAGTTGATCCTATCCTTCATTGACCATCCTCAACTTATAATTTTGGAAAGACAGGTGACAGCAAGTTACAAACGATGTGAGAGTTTATGGAGTAACTAAACGTGGCTACATCACATATTCACACAGGAATGAACTTCACAAGTTGAAACTACTTTAAGTTCAAAATTTAATTCTTTTACATGTGTCCTCAAATGATCAAGCCAGAGACTGACAGAATCTTTGCACATATCTTCCAACATTTTAGGATACGTAAACGAATAAATGCAATATTCGTTATTAAAATACTTTAAATAAACTTTCATGTTAATTAAAGGTTTCAAACTTAAACAGTTACCATCATCCTTACAGCAGTATACAACTGGAAAATTCAACAATAGTCCGAAAATTGACGACATACTGACTTGCCTCTCCGGATTTAGACTAATCATTCTATTCTTAGATCTGCCTACGAACGTTAAAATATGCCGAAATTCTTTTTTGATATCAAGAATAACTTCAAGATCACTTTCAAGGATCTTTGGCCGAGTCAGTTCTTTTGACACATCGACGAATATGACGTTGTAAGAACTACCGTCCGAGACTCGCATCACTGAGATTGTATCACAGATGAATATTTCATCATTCAAACTGAAAGCATGAAGAGATGACAAGAATTTGAAATCTTCCATCACCGAAGCCCCACGGAGAAATGCTTCAACGGATTGTTGGTCGGTAGCAAACAGATCGAACAGGAATGAAAGTTTCATTCCATGTGCAACTGCTAGCAATTGGACGTAGAATTCTTTAGAGAATTTAAAGAACTTTTTGTGGAAATGTTTCATAAACTCTTTATTCCAATTTTTCAAGTTTTCCATGTCGACTCGAAACAGCTGAGACGATGTGAATGTAGTAGATTTATTTTTAATACAGTGATGAGACCATTGTTATACTTGTCGGTTACATTTAGTGATATAAATATGAAAAAATCACTGTATCTGAAATGTTTTATTGAAAAAAATTAATAAATTAATTTATTTAAATATAATATTTTACATTTATATTATTATTCCAATTTTTGTAAAGTAATTATGTATTAATCCGTAAATTGATTATAGTTACAACACTTAATAATCGGATCGCAAGACACTTTTTAATACATAAATTCACCTTTTACGTACATCATCAACAAAACGAAAAGTGAACTTTGCGATGACGTGCACCGCAAGTTTCAAATTTTACGTTCAAGTCGTCGCGATCTTGTGCTGCTTCAAACTTTTGTTCATTCCGGCTTAGTGAGTTTCTGTTATTAGTGATTGGTCCTGGTTTTTAAAGATTTTTCTATCCGATTGCTGATGTTACATCAGCATGAAATAGTTTACCATTACAATTACATTACTTACAGATCACACTGAATTTTTTCACAGTTTATTCAATTATTCATTAATATAATTTATTTATATTTATAATAAATTTATATTTTTCATTAATTTTAATTTAATTATTTAATTTTAATTTAAAAAATTGAAATAATCTCAAATTTCACTTCCCCTTCAGTCGATCAACCGACTTCGAAGTTCATCGAAACTGGCTTGCCATAACACACAGTCTTCCAATTAGTGAATGGTACAGGAGCAACATTTCAATATGGACGTTGGACTACCCCCCACTGTTTGCCTGGATGGAGAGAGGGCTTTCATATCCGGCTAAATTAATTGACGAGAAAATGTTAGATATCGAGAACTTGGATTATACGTCTCAGGCCACTGTCAGGTATCTCAGGATTAGTGTCATCATCACCGATTTTGTTTTCCTCTACGCTGTCTATGGGTTATGTATTTTTATATTCTTTGTATATATTTTTTTGTTTATCTTTTGGGTGTTTTTGAACTTTTTGTTTAATTTGTATGTTTGTTTGTATATATCTTTATTATACTTAATAACAGATTCTTGAAACATTACAAAGAGGTAGATTATGGTTGTAGTAAGAAAAAACCCACCAGTGGGATGGTAGCAGCAAAACCATCAGCTGCTGCAGCCACAACGGCAGCTGCAGCTACAGCAATGACAGAAAAAGTAATGTGCTTAATGCTACTCTTCATCACTAACTTTGGCCTCTTTATTGTAGATCGTTAGTTTTTTTTTATTATTATTAAATTATTAAACACTTGAAAATATGATTTGTATTATCATAAGCAATGTACGTATGTGTGTGAGTCTGTGTGTGTGTGTCTGTATGTATGTGTGTGTGTATGTGTGCGTGAGTGAATGAGTGTGTATCTGTATGTGTGCGTATGTGTGAGTAAGTGTGTCTGTGTGTGTGTGTGCGTGCGTGTGTGTGTGTGTGTGGTACGTCGTTGTCATGTTAATACCTATGAAGCAAATACACTATATGGGGATGACCTCTAATCTATGACCTTTTACGAGAAAGAGTAAAATTCCCCAAATATACAGACATCCATTTCCAATACAATGGCATTCTCTATGGCATCATGCTTCTCTCTCTATTGAAAATATACCAGGTATTTTGCTGTATTGCACATCTATGTAATACGCGGATTTTTTTTGTTTTACAGAAAATGTTGTATACATTTTTGCATTGTGCATACATTTAATTGTATGTAGTTGTTGTTGGCAGCTGTGGTAGTTGTAGTAGTAGTAGTAGTAATAGTAGTAGTAGTAGTAGTAGTAGTAGTAGTAGTAGTAGTAGTAGTAGTAGTAGTAGTAGTAGTAGTAGTAGTAGTAGTAGTAGTAGTAGTAGTAGTGGTAGTAGTGGTAGTAGTAGTAGTTGTAGTAGTGGTAGTAGTTGTTGTAGTAGTTGAAGCAGCTGTGATAGAAGTTATAATAGATATTTAAAACAATAATTGATTAATTAGATGAAAATTTAAAAAAATAAATGCTAATATAATCAAATGTTAATTTATTAAAATAATAATAATTATGAATATAAAATATAATTGAAAATAAATTGATTAGAATAATTAATTTGATAGGATCGCATCGTAGAATCGGCCTTTTGGTTTTCCGTACTCTTATGTATGAAGCACATCTACCTGTACATATGCCCTGTCTTTGGGGTTTTCATGTTGGGGAGATGTTGGGTGGATGGAAGGGGGGATGATGATGATGGTGAGGAGGAAGATGGTGGCTAGTTTGGTGAAATGATGATGAGGAAGGAGATGATGAGGATGATGATGATGGTGAGGAGGAAGATGGTGGCTAGTTTGGTGAGGTGATGGTGGTGGTGATAATGATGACGATGAGATTAATTTCAATTAAGATGATGATAGTCAGATGGATGGAAAGAAATTTACGAGAAGGAAAAAAAGAATAAATGGAGGCGTCAATTATCATCATCTCATGAGAACGCTGGTGAACATTTCGAAACTTGCGTTCGTTGTTCTTACTGTGTTCACCGTCACGTTTCTACCATTTATCTTGACGGTTTGTCTCCTCGTTCACTTGTTAATTCGTTTTTCTGTTCGTTTGTTCGTTTTTCTATTTCTCGGTTCATTCGTTTTTCTGTTTGTTCGTTTGTTTGCCTAAATGGGTTTTCAACATTGATAGGAACCGTGATGGTTGAATAGACATTCATCGCATTCGTATTTGAGTTTAAAGTGAATGAATTTTATATCATTCACACGCGAATACGGCGTCTACGAACACTATTCAGTTTGCAAGTTTTTCCTTTCAAGTCTCAGACAGACTGCATTCAAACCAGGTCAGCACGCAAGAGCAACAAACAGCAGATGACACCTTACCGTCTGACAATCACACCCACATCATCTGCTCATCATCATCACCACATCATCATCATCATAATAATCATTACGTCATAATCGTTACGTCATCAGTCATCATCACGCCACCGCAGAACAGCGTGGGGCCCATGATCTCCAGGTTGTTTCCCTTCAAGAGAGGGCTCTGCCATGCATATTGGGCCCCAAACTTTTGGGCCCTTTATAATGCTTTCGATAAGTTTCTCTTTATCTCAGGTTTGTCCTGACGATGATGATGACGATTATGAAGATGTTGATTTGACTTTTTTCATGACTTGATTTGTACAATGACCGTTGTAAACAAGCAAGTATTCAAATAAAATTCAGCCATAACTAACATGGCTTACCTCTAGCGGCCAATGGAATTACAGATGCTAAAAATACCATCCAATCATCATTTATAACTGTTAATACTTCCGCTCATGTAGTCAATGTATTACCATCTATCTATACAATCATTATTTACATTGTAAATGCCTAAAAATATCGCCTAATCATAATTGGTAATTGAATAAATACATTTTCCACGCAGCCAATAGAATCGCAGGGGGTGAAAACATCAGCCAATCAAATGCCTCGATGACCGGTGGGCTGGTCCAAGAGTACGATCACGCCATTCTCCCCAGCGTTAAACCAGCGCACACTTTCATATTAACTGCCATCTTCATGATCGTAAGTCGATAGCTACCAGAAGTCTATTAGTTATAGCTATCCACCAGATACATAGTTGTGATAGTGTCGAGAATGAATTTAACATAGGTATAAAATACAAATACAGGTGGAAATAGATTCTAATAAAAAAATAAAAGAATAATTATTTTTTCAATCAATCCGACTTGAATGAAACCAGCCAAGCATCATACTAGCCTGGCCCGAACGGCTGATGAATAAAAAGATGGGTGGAGTCAAAGAAGTAGGAGGAGTTGAAAAGGTCAAAGAAGTAGGAGGAGTTGAAGTGGGAGGAGTCAAAACAGCCGTTCGACCTATCAGATTCGTTCGTGCAGTCGTCCTGTGTGCCATGGCATCGTTCATGTTTGGCTGGCACGTGCATGAGAAGGCCATCTTGCTGGTTGTCTTGCCGCTGACGTGAGTTTTCGTTGCTGCGTGTGTGCGTGCGTGTGTATGTGTGTGCGTGTGGTTTTTCTTTTGTTGCTCATTAGTGTTTACACTCTGTTATGATAGTTTGATTGAACGTTTATTTAACCTAAAATTTTCGACATCTTTGGTTATTAGATTTGTATAAAATTGTATGTTAATGGTTATTATTAATAATAATAATTTTTATTTACTTGTTTCAAGTTTGTTGGCGTTGAATTCGAAGCGAGAAGCTGGATTGTTCCTGTTGCTGAGCTGTGTGGCCAACTTTTCGCTGTTCCCACTCATATTTACGAAAGCTGGTTAGTAGCTGGCTGATAGGTAGCTAGCTGGTTGATTGGTAGCTAGCTGGTTGATTGATAGCTAGATGGTTGGTAGCTAGCTGGTTGATAGCTGGCTGGTTTAGTGGTTGGTTAATTGATGGATTGTATTAGTTAGTTAGTTGATTTGATTGGCTGGTTGGTTTTTGATGATTGGTTGATTGAATAAGCAGCTGGTTGGTTCACTTATCCTTCCATTGTCTAATCATTCATTAGTCTAATTTTTTATAAATTTAATCGTTGAATCAATTTCAACATCAATGTAATTCGTCAATATTTCATCCAACCAGTTGAAGAACTCAAAACTAACCAATCAAATTACTTCTCTCAACCATCCAACCAACCAATCAAATAACTTTTCTCAGTCGATCAACTAATCAAATAACTCAACCAGCCAACCAATCAAATAACTCTTAACAACCAGCCAACCAATCAAATAACTCCTCACAACCAGCCGACCAAACACGAACCTAACTTACCCATCCATCAAACGACATAATTACAGAGCAGCCATTGAAGTACATCCTCTGCATCATCAGCCTCATCATCGCATTCTCATTTCTCACGTCACACCACAAGTTGTTAACTTTTTTCATTTTATAAAAAAATTATTTTATTTTGTTGAAAAATTATTTTATTTTGTTAAAAAATTATTCTATTTTATCTTATTATGTTACGTGTTACACTCGAAAAATGAACTATCTTACAATCTAACTCATCAAAATTAAAGTTTTTCGAAATATTTGATGATTTTTTTAATCTAAAAATCATGTTTTCTATTCAACAACCAACAACTCTCTCTAATAAAACAATCATACAGGGAATATTCTAGAAGCTGCTGGCGACTACCTCTTCTGGCGTCACTGGAAAGCGCCTACGTGATTGGCCTGCTATTTATAGAAACCTACAGCGCTCTGTTACATTTTATCCTATTTAAAAATTCGCTGGAGTTCCTTCCGCTCATGATGACGTCATGTTATTGCTCTCTGGGTGTGGTTTATACTTTTGTTAAGATGATTGGTCTGTTCTGTTTCAACATAGGTGATTGATTGATAGATGGATGGATAGATAGATGGATATATTAAATAGATAGATTAAATAAATAGAGATAGATAGATGGATGGATAGATAGATAGATAGATAGATAGATAGATAGATAGATAGATAGATAGATAGATAGATAGATAGATAGATAGATAGACAGATAGATAGATGAGATAGATAGATAGACAGACAGATAGATAGATAAATAGACAGATAGATAGATAAATTGATAGACAAATAGATAGATGGATTGATAGACAGATAGATAGGATTGGTAGACAGATAGATAGATGGATTGGTAGATAGATAGTTCTGGTTTTCTTTCGTCAATATATGCGCTGCTAGAGGCTGAATTTTTTCCTGCTTATGTTTTTTTTTCATTCACACAAATCTACTACAAATATCTGTTACAATACTAGATATAGTAAAAAAAATATACAGATACACACACACAAACAAAAACACACAAATTCGACCACACATTTATTTATACTCTCAACTAAACTGAATGAAAGAAACATATTATATCATCATTACAAAATAATAATAAAAAAGTTATTGATAATAATATAACAATTATACACTGGTGGCTATGTTACAATCATGTGACGACGATGATAATAATAATGGTGATGATGAATAAAATGGTTAAAACGACAGATGCTAACGAATCATCACAAATGGTGCTAAATTAAAGTGATTGATGTGGAGGTAGTAGTTCTGTGTATAGTACTTACTTAAACAATTAAAAATAAAGTTACATTACGAACTAGAAAAGATATATATTTATATATATATATATATAACAGATTTAATCACAATTGAATAAATGACTTTCCACACATACTGTTAAGCGATGTTTTTGGTTCTACCCAGTTTCGGTTCCAATTATAAAACGCAGAAATCCCCCAACAGGAGAGAATTTGAAATTGCTTTGTAAAGATAGTTCGCGAAAACAACCACAAATCAGTTGACTGTACTTGAATTACGTTAACAAATTGACTTCAAAGTATTGCAAAAATTGCCTATCTATGTAGAGTCAGTCAATTTATCAATCAATCAATCAACCAATGAAACAACCAATTAATTGATCAATCAATCAACCAACCAATCAATTAGTCGATAATAAACTAGTCGTTTAGTAAATCGATCACTTCATCCATCGCTCCATCACTCATTCCTCCACTCATCGAACAAAGGACAGATGTTAACAAAAGATTGCATATCGCTGGCCCCCGAGAGGCAGTCGGACAGCACATCCCTAGTTTTGCCGGATGTGTTCAGGCAGATTTTACTGATCAGGTATTTCAGCCAGAGAACGTTCGTCATTGGACAAAACTTCGACCAATCATCTCTGTTTCAATAAATAATAAAAATAAAATAATAAAAATACAGTAAAATAATAGTTCTTGTAGAAGACTTAATAATAACCTGTTAATAATGGATTATGATAAAAACATACAAAGTAATTTGTCTCTAAATGCATAAAAATGCATACACACACATACACACTAAAACACATACACACACACACATTCATACGCTACATACGGACCCTGTTTGAATCTTCATATCCCTGTAAACATCATATTGTACGTCACCTTGACCTTCGAAAAGTTCTCTGTCCAATGAGAGGTCTTGATACAGAGTGAAGCCATCTGATTGAGCAATTTAAATCTTCATTAACAATAATAAGAATAATAATAACAATAATGATAGGAATAACATTTTTTGTCGGCAAGTAGTAGAACACACAAACATATTCATACACACACACATATTCATACACACACACATATTCATACACACACACATATTCATACACACACACATATTCATACACACACACATATTCATACACACACACATATTCATACACACACACACACATATTCACACACATTCATACACACACACACACATTCATACACACACACACACACATTCATACACAACTGCTTCGAACGCAAACTCTGTTGAACGTTTATTTGAATACCAGCAGTAATAGAAAGGATTAACTGTTCCGAGTGACTACGTGAATCACAATTACGACTACACTTTAAACCTCGCTATTCGCAACATCTTATATAGCCTCTTTGAGTTTGATGGAATCATAACAGAGTAGTATCTTTTCATTTGAATTATTTTTTACGCTTCTAATCAATATATAAATTTTTGAGGGCGCCTGTAAGAACTGCTATGACGGGCGCTATATAAATTCTTCATCTTGATTTGATTTGATTGATTGTACGATCGGTTAATTAATGATTAACTGATTACATGATTGATCGATCGATTGATTGTGATTGACTGCAACCAATTTAACTAACCCCTGGTTATCCTGGATATGGAATAATCAATGATCGTGGCCTTGACACCGTGACATTTGACCTTGAACTCCCTTCGGCCTACGCTGAACTTTAGTGGGTCATCTGAAATTGGTCGTTGTGGAGGTTGGCGGAGAGAATGACTGACCGCAACGACGAAACAAAGAAGCAGCAAAATAATAAAAAGTACGAATAACATCAATAGCAACAAAAACACCAACAACAATAGCACAAACATATAAAAACACTAACAATAAAAACACTAACAATAAAAACACTAACAATAAAAACACTAACAACAACAACAACAACAACAACACAAACATATAAAAACACTTACAATAAAAACACTAACAACAACAACAACACAAACATATAAAAACACTAACAACAACAACAACTGACCGCCATCTTCACTAATCCTCCTGACCAGAATGTTTCCCAAATGAAGATCCCGATGTTCAAACTGGCAGTGGCGCTCGGCTGACGCCAAACTCAAACTGACCTGCTTTATGACGCTTACCTCTTCTTCCTCACTGGATAGCTGGTGATGGTGGTGATGTGATGATGAAGACGACGACGATAGGGATGACGGTGATATGGCCTTATGATATTTGACAAGTATGATAATGAGAAGAGATCGATAAGAAGAAATGAAGTTAAGATGGTGAAGACGATGATGTAATAAGGACGATATTGGTGACTGGTGTGATAGCTCAGACGGTAGGAGCGCCATTAATCTCGCGTTGCTATCATTCACGCCGACCTGGTTTGAATGCACTCTGATGAGAAATCAGATTTCATTATTAAACGCCTTGTACACAAACTATTTAGCATATGCTCTAATTGTTATCATCATAATCGTCATCATAACCAAAATCATTATCATCATCGCCACCATCATCACAATCATTATCATCATCATCATAACTACAATCATTATCATCATCATCATAACTACAATCATTATCATCATCATAACCACAATCATCATCACCACCACCGTCACAATCATTATCATAATCATAACCACAATCATTATCATCATCACAACCATCATCATCACTGACTTTGTACTGCTCCAAGCAAGTGCCAGCAAACTCGTATGACAGCATAATGTACTGCTGCCTCCTATCCAATATACCTGACATCATCATCATCGTCATCATCATCATCACAATCGTTATCATCGTCGCTTTTATATTTACATAATTTTATAACCATAATTTTGTTACTTCGTCATAATTATTATCTTCACCATCGTCATCATCATCGCCACATCATAATCAGCATCATTATCATTATAACTGCGTCGGCTCCACACTAGGAATGGGACGGATCCAAAAAACGGAATCCCTCTCATCGGATCCGAATTCAAATGATCAAATCGGACGGATCTGAATCCGGATTCACTTCCGCGAATATTCGTTGCTGGCGTTACGGCTGTAGCAACTACTTTTGAGTTGTGTTGTGAGTTAAGAATGAACGAAAAAGAATCTACAATACGGGGAACCGACACAAATGAACAATAACAACGACGGCCTCCTTAATTTTACACTAATTCTTTCGCAACGTGATTTCTGCCTAGCAACAATGTCGAACATAAATGTCGGTCAAAGCACGTAGCCCGTCTCGGACAAACTTTTGAAACATTCGATTCAAACTGAAAGAGTTGTGAAGCAACTCGAGACGCTGTTGAATTTGACAGGGCAGAAACAAGAAGCAACTGTCGCCACACATGTTGATTTTAGTTAAGTTTAGTAGTTGGTACCCTCGTTGATGCATATATAACGCTGAGGAAGATCAACAATTTAAGATTCAACATTCAAGCCGTGACACGTGAATCAGAAAAGTTGATGACATTTTACATTTCATTCAGTTTGTAATTAAAAATATCTAATTAAACTAATGTTGTTGGCCTAACTTTATCCGGTTATCAAGTGTCTCTAGAGTTGGATCCGGCGAAATCGAATCTTACCGAATCTCTAGAGTTGGATCCGGCGAAATCTAATTATTTGACGATTCGGATTCGAATCCGGATTCTAAACCGTCGCATCCCTACTAACCACACCAACAAAGCCATCAACACCAACTTGGATTTTCGTTCAGTGACTTCCCGTCCCTATTGAAATCCTCCCAGGCCTCAGTCAGCACCTTTGGGTATGAGCCCTTCAATAAGCTCACCCTAATTTGCATAATTTATTATTTTATTGCAAATATTAACATAATATATTATAATTAACCGACAAATGATTCATCATTCAGCTAATAATCAAAATATAAACAAGAATTACTTTTTAAGGTTGACGAATGTATCAGCATATCTACGCTTGTTCCCATTATTCATGTAGCTACTGAGCTCGCTGCAGGGGCACATTAACATATCATTAGCATAAAATTTGCATATTATTGGCATGAAATTAACATATTATTGGCATAAAATTAACATATTATTTGTGTGTGCGTGTGTGTGTATGTGGGGGGGCCGTTGATACCTCCGTCTGAATCATACAATTAAAGAGAGGGGGACTGACATTTGATATATAGCATATAATTAGCATATAATTAACATATGATTTGCATAAATTAACATGTTGCTACTAACAAAACATAAGCATACACTTAGGATAAAATAATATTAACATAGAAGAGGTTAAACATAACAAACACAAAATTAGCATTTCATTAATTTGCAATCTATATATAAATAATAATTATTATTATAATTTAAATAAATTATAGCTATACAGTACTGATAATTATGATAAAAAATTACCTGGAGATAATTATCTCTGGCAATATCTCTTCAAATTTTTTTGGCAGCGACGAGTTAATCACCTCTTCACCTTCGACTGGCATAATCTGATGATGATGATAATAACGATGATAATAATTATAAATGATGGTGATGGCGATTTCACCACTATCATCACCGATCATAGTACTCATTTTCTGAACAATCATTCTTTCATTTGTACTGTCATTATCATCATCATCATCATCCCCATCATCACCATCCAATCACCTTCTACCTCACCGTCCACATCATCACCCTGACCTTCAAAGCACAGATGTCTCCGTTGAAGTTGACCTCAAACACCTCCCCGAAACTGCCCTCACCGATTTTTCTCACCCCTTTCACAGCCCTGGCAAAGATGATGATAACAACGATAAAGACGATGAAACTAATGACGTCATCATCATTTATAATAGAGATGTACCGAACTGTGAATTTTGGCCAAAGGCTGCTGAATAGTTGGACCACAATTCAACCGAGGCCAGAGGGCAAAGATAAAAAATCCAAAAAATTTTTAAATTTTTAGAGCGAAAAACAAGTTATTTATAGGAAGATGAGACAATTCACGTTTATAATAATTCATATAATAATTCATATAATAATTCATATAATAATTCATATAATAAATTATATAATAATCCATATAATTCATATAATAATTTATGTTCTTAATAATTCAAGATGACATTCAGTCTCTCGTTCAAATTCAGAAACTTTAACCGCTCTGGTGGCCAAAATAAACTTTCCACTGAGAATTATTATCACCAATAAACATTCTTAAATCTCAAAAAAGTGTGGTTTGAACGAAAAAAGCAGCACTATTCGTCTGTTCGGCTATTAAAAATGGCCAAAAGGCGAGTGTCAAACTTCAGACCCCGAACATTTGATCAGTCTCCAATTTAAGATGACCGCTAATTATGACGTCATCACTCGCAATGATTACAAACGACGGCGAAGAAACCAACAATGACGTCATCGTCGTCTAGAAATAATGAGTGTTACAAGGCTCAATCACAAAGCAACATTAAAAACTACTACTGCTACTACCTCTTATTGAAGAGGTGAGTGAATGACAAGGGCTTAGACTGCTTACAGATCCTTAATATTTCATCATAGGCTTGCAATGGTTGTTGCAGTTGTTGTTGTTGCTGTTGTTGTTGTGGCAGTTGTTGGAAAATCGGAAATTGCTGGGAGAATCGTTGCGAATAGTGCATCTG